CCCTGAGGAGCTTGGTAACAACTGCGCTAGATCTTTCGGGCCAAGAATCCATGTCCCCGTCGGGTGAACTGGCGAGACAAGGATCCGTGACGGCGATTACGTCGACCATGATCTCGACGATGATCCCACTGGCATCTTGCCGGATCAGGCTCGATCCTGGCTGGAATTATAACAGATCACGCGTAGGGCGTACGGGGTCCCGAGCCTTCGCGTTCACAGGAGCTTCCTGTCCTCGGATCCTCGCCCGCGCTTCCAGAATGGATGCCCCGGAGGGTCCTAAAGTCATGCGTCGTGGTTCGGACGACGTATCTGACTCATCCTCAGCGGCGGATTCGTAGTTCGAGGACGCAGCTTGGCTGATCCTCGGTGACGACACTAGATCCATAGTACGCGACCTTTCTCCGGTGATGGACTTAACTCTGGCAAAGAGGTCCCGCGTCGCGGATACTATGAGATCCAGGTCTAGCTCGAAGATATCCTCTGCGTCGAACACACCAGCTACGATGCCTGACTCCGTAAGCAAACGTAATAGATTTTTGACTGCCACCAACTTGTTCGCCGTTTTCGTTGGTGCTCCCACCGGTTCCCTTGGATCTTCGATCTGTCTTGGATTCAGGATCTGCATGACAGGATCTTGATGCAGGAAGTCGCGTAAAGCCTGGTGGCGATACACAAACTCGAGATCCTTGTCGGACCAGCTTGACCTGGATCCAGCTTGGTCTTTTTCCGACTCTGGAGCTTGCATCTTCTTCCGCGTAGTCTTACTCGTTTTCGTCTTCTTTCTCGTTTCTTCGACTAGCGGGCTTGGGTTTAGGTACAGTGTTGGCTTAACCGGTGAATCTGCAAATGCATACCGTTTCGCCTTCACTTTTCCTTGTTTTGTTAGCGGATCTTGACTTGCATCAAGATCCGCAGGGGTCCCCGAGGGGACCTGGGGAGGATAGAGAGGTTTTTCTTCTAGATCCGGATCCGGATCCACCTCTCTTCCGTCGACAGAGTTCCTCCCAAAACTCCATCGATCCGCGGATCTTGTTTCATTCAGCAGCGTCTTCGTCGATCCGATCTCCGACGACGCCTCTTCCCCTGGCTCAATCTTCACTTGAGCATCTTCTTGGGACTCACGGTGAAATCCCGAGTCACCAAAAGATCCGGGCACGCGCACCATTGTGGTGTAGCGGGATCAGCAAAATCTGCGAGATTGCCAGATCCAACTTACCAACTGCGCCCAGACACCGACTAACGGAGGGGGTCCCCCGATGATCCGTGTTCTGCTGAACTTTCCTCACCTTGTGTACCCGTCGGTAGGGCGGGATCTGCTCTCTCGGTAACTTCCGAAGAGTTCAAGTGGTGAAGCTTGAGTGTCTTGGCGAGACGTGGGGATGGGGTGGAGCAGCAGTGGAAAATCTTCACTCTGCGTCCGTGGATGGTTCCGTATCCTAAGCGAATATTCGAGCTTATGGATCCGGGGCCTAGATCGTGGATCTGGCCGTAGGGTTGCCTTGCGGGTGTGTTCCCTTGCCTTTGTGTTGTCCTTTAAGTCGTACTTGCCGCCTCCTGTGACGGGATCTTGAGAGTTGAGAACCTCTAGGGTGTAACCGACCAAGTAGTAAATTCGGTTAACCTGTCGGATCTGCACAAGTAAAGGAAAAGCTCACTAGGTTGTAGGATCTGGCCAATGTATTATCCAGTTATCACTACCAGCACTAGATTCGCAATTCCCAACCTTCTCCTAGCTCGTACGGCCAATGTAGTTCCGGTTCTTGAGGGCAGGAAGGCACTTGCGTGATACTGTGCAAATTGAGGTCTGTATTGATATTTAAGCCTATACCTGCCTGGGTTTCTACCTTCTATGTCTTTCATCTGCTAAATCCCTTACCAGGCTCGGCTGCATGTCCCTTCTTCCCTTGACCCATCATCCCAGCTGTATTATCTTCAGATCCACCGGATCCATGGCGTAATCATTATGGTTACCCTATTATGGGTACACTCATCAGGATCCAGGTCGCTTGGATCCACTTCACTTGAAAGTGTACACTCGTCGTGGATCTGAGCTCTCCACTCATCCAACATCATCTCGCAACCGTCTGTGATCTCCACTGTCCCACGAAAGTTCTAGATCCACTGCATCCATCATACCTATACCCTGGATCCAGGTCCCTTAAGGCGGGATCCTCCCTCCTTGGATCCTAACTCGAAAGCATGGGATCCGGGTCACCTCGCGGTGGATCTTAACTCCTCGTTAGCCGTGGCTACTAGATCCACCTTTAGAGGGCTTCACGTCAAACCTACCGTCTGGGTCTTTTCACGCCTACCATCCTTCCTTCATAGGATCCACACCCGATCCACTCTTGTATAGTATATCCCATATCCATTTAGGTGAATCCAAGTAAGGGTGGATCCGAGGTAAGTCTTGGTGGATCTTGCCTTCTCGTACATCGCTCATACCAGATCCATCGTCACTTCATACGGGGCGCTGCTCGTCATGGCTAATCCACCACCGGCAACTTGCATCCGTGCCAGCCAACCCAAATCCTCTCTAATCACTTGAAATTGTCATTGATTCGGGATAGTGACCCCGCGTCAGGCCCATTCTCTTATTTCTGAGAAAGCACTTTACCACACTTGCACCGGGACAGACTGGACCTTGTAAACTACTTATATAAGCCAACCAGTAAAAAATATAACATGCTACTAGCACGAGCAAAACTAGCAGGTGTTTGAATCCTCGTGGTCCCAACAGTGGAAGGGTACCGGGCATGGGTAAGCCTTTTACGAGGGTACCGAGCGTTCAACACTCGGTTGGAAGAATAAAAGGGATGCAATACAAGGACTTCCAGTCGTGCAAATAAACAACAATAAGCCGTCACGTAAACTCCAAACTCTAACACTATATTGCCATAGTCACTCGATTACAAATTTCCTGTTATTTCGAAACGACCCATAACATAAAATTTCCGACCTCCGACAACCTCCGACCTGTACATAAATGGCGGCACATCTAAGTCAGTAACTCTTAAAACAAATATATTAAGTTTTCTTTTTTAACTGAGGGCCACATTGAAAATGTATTCACAAATAAAAAGGAGGGGGGGTGGTCTCAGGGCGGTAGCAGTGCAGCGGTGGCAGGGTGGTGGCAGGGCGGCGGCAGAGCGGCAGGGCGGTGGCGGTGGCAGTGCGGCAGAGCGATGGCAGTGCGGCAGTGCGGTGGCGGTGGCGGTGGCAGTGCGGCAGAGCGATGGCAGTGCGGCAGTGCGGTGGCGGTGGCGGTGGCAGTACGGCAGAGCGGTGGCAGGGCGGCGGCAGAGCGGCAGGGCGGTGGCGGTGGCAGTGGCAGTGCGGCAGAGCGATGGCAGTGCGGCAGTGCGGTGGCGGTGGCGGTGGCAGTACGGCAGAGTGGTGGCAGGGCGGTGGCAGCACGGCAGGGCGGTGGCAGGGCGGCATCAGAGCGGTGGCAGGGCGGCAGGGCGGTGCACAGGAGGCAGCGAGTCGATGTGCTCAAGAATTAAAAAGGCAATACATGTACATTTAATTGACGCTTGCTACATAATGCTCTACGCAATGTAAAAATAATGGATCTTCACGCAGGGATGTTGCATGTGTTGCTCCTAATGACGGGCAAGCTCCCTGTGGCGCTGCTACCCACCTCTTCTAAAATTTACTACTTCATATATATAGTATATATATATATAGTAGCATATTAATAATAAGTAAGATTTAAAACTAATGTGTGGTAATGATTGCACTGGTCGGAGAAGTCGGAGAAATGACTTTATGCATGTGATATGCCTACATATTGAAATTTGTAAGAGCATATGCTCTTATATTATGTCGGAGCCAACTCCAACGAGGTTCAACCTAACCCTTACCATTTGGATTGGCCAAATCATCTTGTCAAGACCGTACGATTGGCTGTCTAAGAAATAAAAATGGATGATTGGTGATTAATACCAATACTAAAATTAAGTAGGGTCGGAGAATCATCCATATCGTACTTAAGAAGTCGCATTTCGTACTTAAATGGATAGTCTTTAGAGGCAAATCAAAAACAGATTTGCACTATTGCATGTGCGTTCATTCAAAGAGCCGCGAACGGAAAATTTAAGTAGTACAATATCATTTCCACAACTCAGCACTTTGACGTGTTCAAGTGGTGGCACTGTTGGCAATGCCCCATGTGCATAAATGCAGAGCGCCTGCGTTTTTCGCTGTACACATGTAAACTCCCGGTGCATCTTGCAGTGCAAGTGGATTGCACCGCTGGGTGCTTCTCGCTGACTTGAACTGTGGCAAGTCCATACTTTTTGTGGCCGTTGCTTCTCAAATTGGCAACGCTTTAGTCTGTGGCGTTGTTGATTCAGGGTCTTATTCGGTGTTCTGCACATCAAGTAGAAGTGCGCCACACAGTGGGACACTGGGCGATCCTTCCGTGTGTTGAAGGGCGACCCATACTCACGCCAAGTACAGCCGCAACGAACCCCACAGCTCGCACCAGTCACTCGCACTGTAACCACCGAGGCCAAGGCCGAGGCGTGGAAGCAGGTGAGGAGGCAGTGCCTGCTTCACTTTCCGGCGTAAAGATCTCCAAGCATCAGCAATACTAGTGAGGACAAAAGGCTTGATCTTCTTTCTCTACTCCAGCACCCACTCGCCATGGTGAGCGACGTCGACAGCGAGGACCATCGTTCTCCTGGTGTCTGCGATGCGTGCGGAATCGCCCCTGCCGCACTGCGCTGCGAGGCCTGTCGCCTCGATTTGTGCGTGCCCTGCTCACGGACGCGTCACCGCAGCAGCCTCCATCTGACCACAGGCCGCTTCCGCTTCTACCGCAAACCAGGACACGACCAAGCGGACGACTCACCGTCCACTGCCTCACCACCCAGCTCACCCGCAGCCGAAGAGCTGCGCAGCTCGTCTGAGACGACAGCTAGTGACGCGCTATGGGGATTCGACGATGCGTTGGCGCAATCGATACGTGCGCTAACGTTCGCCACCGATGAAGATACCAGCGTCGACTCAATTGCAACTTCTATGACCACAACTGCTACCACTGCTACTACTACTACGACGACGACAACGACCGTTGATAGGCGACCACGCAGCTTCTCCGACTACGCGGCGTTGGGCGACACCGAGCGGTGGCGTGCGCAGGGAGAACTCAGTGAGCTCTGGGGGGCCATGCAGACGGAGTTTGTCTCGCGCCACGTAATCGTGCGCTGCGGTGCCGGTGTCTGGGATGCGCTGGACGTGCGCCGCGTTGTGGATCGACTTAACGTACGTAGAAATAGAAAGTGACGTTGCTACGGTAGGAACTGACATGTGTGCATTTATTTAATGCAGAACTTTGGGAGTGTGGCCAGCACACGCCGCGAGCTGACTGCAAGTGGATTGCTCTTCTGCACCTTCTTCGATCTTGCGAGTGCAGTGGCGGCTGTTGGCCGCTGGCGCGCTGATATAGACATCATTAGCTTTTGTCTACCCTACGAACTGCCGGATGACGTCAACTCGGCGACGCTGCTCGTACGTTTCGCGCTCGGTGGGTCGCCTCCTACGGCTGCCGAGCTTCGTCATGTCTGTACGTGCTTCGGCCAAGTGGCCAGTGTCTTGCAGCCTGATACACAAATAACCAAGTACATCGTCGAGTACAGCGACTCCCGTGCACTACCAGGCGCACTTAACGGCCTGCCACACGCCTTCCACGCCAGTGGACCGGTGTCTGTGGCGCGCACTACACCTCTATCCTTGGATGTTTCCAAGCTTCAACTCTTCCAGGAGTGTCTGAATCGATCAGCAACCACCCATCCACGAGTAACTAGAACTCGCCCCAAGAGCTTCTCGTCTAGCAGCACGTCGCTTCTGACGTCGCCTACCTCGTCCGTCGCGTCATCCCTCAACACGTCCTTCCTGGAAGGTGCTGGTAACAATAGCCCAATGGCATCGACCACGTCGGCCACATATCCTGGAGAGATCACGTCCCCGGTGTTCATGCCTCAGGAAGAGCAGCAGATTTGGGCGAGACCAGCGCTTCGGGTCAGAAGCAACTCGTCCTCAGCGTATCTCGGCGGTTCTTTGTCGTCCAGCAGCTTTGGCGATTCGGCGTATTCCAACGGGTTTGCACTTCCGTCGTCCAGCAGCATCGACACGTTGTCGAGTCGCGCCAATGGATATTCGTCGTTCCAGGGTGTCAATCAACTACAGCCTTCCGGTAACCAGATACCCACAGAGCAACAGCAGCAATCTTATTACGACTTTCGAGGACGACAGCGTATGCCCACCAAGTTTGCCGCCATGAGAAACAGTTTTAGCAACAACGACCACTTCTTCCGAACAAATGCTAATGCACTCAGTGGTGGCCACGCTCCTGCTCACGGTGTGGGCTCCGCAGGGCGCCCCACGACTGGGCGGAACGATCAAGGTACCGGGGAATTCAGCATGTCAATCGAAAAGGTGGCGTCGGGCGAAGATAAACGAACCACATTGATGATCCGTAACATCCCCAACAAGTACACGCAGCAGATGCTGCTCTCGGAGATCAATCGTAACCATCGCGGCAACTACGACTTCTTCTACCTGCCCATTGACTTTAAGAACAAGTGCAACATGGGATACGCTTTCATTAACTTCATTGAGGCGGCGCTTATCGAAGCGTTCCATAAGGAGTTCGACGGACAGAAGTGGACCAACTTCAATAGCGAGAAGGTCTGCGCCATCTCATACGCGCGTTTGCAAGGCAAACAGGCAATGATCGCTCGATTTCAGAACTCGAGTTTACTCGACAAGCACGAGTCCTATCGCCCGCTGGTCTTCGGTAGTTCTGGCCCGAATCGAGGCAAACCTGAGCCATTTCCAGCCCCAAAGCAGATTGTTCACAAAAAGCAGTCGGTGCACTTGCCACATTCCCCAGGAGTATTTGGGGCTGACGAATATGGCAGCTACGTAGCCCATCGAATGTATGCGCAGCAGCCATCGCACCAGCAGCAGATGCACCAACAGCATTCGCTTGCTGTGTACCCTCAGTCACTTGTGGGGATGCCTCAGCATGCCATGCCTCCTCTTCCGACAGCCCACTTCGGCCCGCAGGCACTACCGTTGCAGTATCCCCCCTCGTACCAGCAGAACGACCCCCGCTTGACGTCGCCGTTTTTATACGGGGTTGCAGGGATGCCGTCGAATACGCTGGATTACTCGCTTTGACCTGTTCTTCCGGCTTGGCGACTGCCTCGACTTCCTGCCTGCCTTCGTATTAGTTTGTTGAGCGCTCTTTGTGTACTCTTGTTTACTTTTTTGGCTTGCTGGTTTTTGATACCTGCTCACTGTGTAACTTTGATTAGCTTAAGCTTTTAGCACGATAACTATCTCGGAAATACAGCAAACTACCACCGTGAACAGCAGCATCCCCCTGTTCACGTCGCGAAGAGGAATCGCAAGTCTTCCTCGGTGAGACGGCAGATAGCGCTTACGTTGGCCCCAACGGTTCCTTCAAAGATCAGTCGCTTCTTCTCTTGAAGCTTCAGAATGCGTTCCTCAACGGTGCCAGCAATGATGAAGCGAGTGGCCTGGATCGGCTTGAACTGACCCAATCGATGCGTACGATCGATGGCCTGATTTTCTGCCGCAGGGTTCCACCACGGGTCCATCAAGAAGATGCTGCAACAGACACAAGACACAGGAAGGGAGTAAGATGATCGGAGAATAGGTATACAAGAGCAGAAGAAGGCCCTCAAACTTACTGCGATGCGACAGTCAGGTTGAGTGCGACGCCGCCTGCCTTGAGACTGATCAAGAACGCAGTCACTGTTGGGTCGTCTCGAAAGGCCTTGATAGTTCGGTCTCGCACACTCATGCTCATGTTGCCTGATAGTTTAACGCACTTGACCCCACCGAGTTGCAGGCGGTGTTGGATGATATCGAGCATGTTGACAAACTGTGAAAAGATGATGGCCTTCCCGGACGGGTCACGAGCGCGCATGAGCTCCAGTTCCTGCATCAGCGCTTCAATCTTGGTACTGGACTGGAAAGCGTGGACGTCGGAGATTCGGTGAAGAATGCTATTCCGATGAAAGCTGGACAGATTTACAGCCTTCGGTGACCGGCTACTCGGCGTGCTGGTCTCTTCGTTCGAAAGAGGTTTGACTTCTTGCACCGGCGGAGATAAGTCGACTGTCAGCGGTTTTAAGCACGTTGGACATGTCGCCTCGGCGCCCGCTGGAAGTGACTCGATGAACTCCTTCACACACTCGCGGCAGAATTCGTGTCCACATTTCGCGACGACCTCGTCTTCCATGTATTCGTGGCAGATTGTACACGATCGCTCGTCCTCAAAGCTCGCGCCGCCGCAAGTACCGAAAGGCGTTTCTTCCACCAACGGAGCAGCTGAACTGGGGAGCTGGAGTGCTGGGTTTGTCTTGGAGTAAATTACGAGGTACGGGTGGTCCACGGCTTGGCGAAGGCGAATGAGGAGGTCGAAGATGTGGGCGTAGTTGTTCAGCAGAGTCCCAGACGACACGTACGTGTTGAACTGCGCTTGACTCTGTGTATAGATAGCCTCGTAAAAGTCATTTTCACGCTCATCCAGTCTATCCTTTCGGATTCTCACGAGTTTAGGCGGAAGTGAAATGTCGTCTGCACGTCCTTCTTTCGTTCGGCGTAGTAGAATCTGCAATCGAACCACGTTAGACGAAATGCAAATGATACGGGAAAAAGGGCAGTACTAACATGCTGGAGAACGTCATTCTGCAATCGCTGCATTGCAAGCTTGCCCTCGCCAACGTAGCCGTAAGCCTGGATCGGGATCACGACCTTTTTGTTAAAGTACGAGTAGTGCTGGATGGCGCTGTGTGTACACTGTACACATTTTTTATCTGGGAAACTGGATCAATCAACGTTAGATACAACGCCAACTTCGATAGTACAGACAAGAGACACGTACTTGTAGTCCAGCATTTGGCAGTCACACACGTTGCAGTGGTAGTATGCGTACTTCTTTACCTGGAGGAACCGAACAAGAGAAAACAACTCGCCAATACGGTTCTGCAAAGGAGTGCCTACGCAGATATGGTAACGAAGTCGTGATAAGTCTCACAACTCCACAAAGCGAAGTTCTAGCACACAAAAAGTACCAGATAAGCACCACTTGTACGTTGACTTGAGCTCGAAGACACCACGCGCTGTATTACAATTTCGGTCCTTGATGTAATGCGCCTCGTCCAGAACGATACGCGTCCACTGGATCTGATGAAGAGGCGACTTGCCTTTTGTCTTCTGGAGTGTCGGCTTTTTCTCATCATTCTTCTTCGCTGGACCCTTAGGTTTTCGAGCTGCTTGCTTCATGTCATCGCCTTCCTCTTCACTGCTCTCACCAGCAGCTTTCTTTTTGGGTTTCTTCCTTTGCTGCTTATTCTGCAACGCTGTCTTCCTGGCACCTGGTCCGCAAAAGTACTTGTAGTGCGACACCAACTTGTCTGGCAAATACTTTTTACCACAAAACTTGCACGCAACTTTCAACCATCCGAGTGTTTTACGGATCTCACTTTCGATAATGGAGTACGTCGTCAGCACAATATCATATGAAGCAATCCTTTCCACCAAGTTCAGACGTTTAGAGCCGTGATGAATGTACACGGACAGATGACCAGGCTCCACAAACCGCTCAATCTCGCTCTTCCACTGCATGACGGCAACGAGAGGGCAAACAACGAGAGTTCCACCATACACAGTCTGCGAGTTTCGGCTGTTAACGGGCTTTCCAATGGGCTTTTCACGACCATTTTCCAGCATGAGCGAGATGGCCTGAATGGTCTTCCCCATCCCCATTTCGTCTGCTAGAATGCCGCCTTTGTAGCTGCTTTCCTCCTGTCCGACCATCCAAGCCAGAGCTTCTCGCTGATACGGAAGAAGAGTAGCAGTTAAGTACTTGGACGGTTCCTTCTCTGGCATGCGGCCTTTCTTGTTGAAGTGCTTGTCTGAAAGTGGGAGACGCTCATCAATGACACCGTCCATGTCGTTCTTCTTCATGTACTCACGAACACGCTTCTGATCTGCAGCCTGCAGCCTTGAAAATCCGTCAATAGGATCGCTGTTCTTCTTCTTCGCAAGTTTATTGTCCACCTTTTTGCCATCTGCCTCCTCTGTAGTAAGATCGGCGGTAGTTCCAGCCTTCAGTCCGATCATGGTGCACTCCACATGCTAGGTATTTAGGAGACCAAGAACCATTAGACAAATACATTTACTCCACGAGATTAGGGTCACTTACTTTGTAATAAGTGGTGTCACCGAAAATTGAGTGTCGAATGTCGATACCTACACGAAGCTGCTTGACGAGAAGCTTCTGCTCGCAGCTCTTGCACTGCATTTTTATCATGCATTAGCTGCGTTAAGAACCGGAAACACATCATCAGCAACGCAACTGAGAACGACGCACCTTAGATCTGCCATTGGCTGCGTATTCAACAAAGTAGTGGGGGCCATCGTACAGATCCTCCTCGTCCGAAACCTCGCTCTCGCCCACAATTTCAATGTCCAACGAATCTACGTCGCTACCATGAATACTGTTGCCTGCACTAGTAATGCGGGTGGAGGAGACATCGATATTTAGATTGGCAGTTGCAGGGCGAATTATCGCAGCGCGTTGTATTGGAGGAGAATTCTTCATGGGCGGACGTCTTCTCACCGGTTTTCGCCCCTCTTCATCACTCGATATAGCCGACGATACCAAGTCATCGTCTTCTTCCTCACATACGCTGTCTCCAACGAAATCACTGTCAGCGTCGTTGTCTTCATCGTCGTCACTTAGTACAACTGCCAGCTTTCGGGACGAGGCACGGCGAGCCGTTCGACCATCCACTCGTGACTTTGGCAACGTCTTCGCCTTCATCTTCATAGCAGTCTTCCCGTTCTGACGCTTCAGCAGCGTCTGAGCTATAGGCTTCTTGTCCAAGTCATCGTCTTCATCCTTCTGTGTGGATCTCGTCGACCCTCGGCGTCTCTTGGGCATCGGCTGCTCTGCCTCCTCCATCTCCACTAGGGTATCTCTCTTCTTTCTCTTGCCATTGTTTACAAGTCCATTCTTCTCCTCGCCTCCTCCCTTACAGTCTGAGCACTGCCACGAGTCTACCAGCTGCGGCCGGCGACGCAGCGGCGGTTTGAGGCATCCCAGGTGAAAAAGCTTCGTGCAGGTTGAACAGTTCACGGTCACACGCTGTGACGGCTCCTCGCACACGGCGCAGACTTCAGCATCAGCATCCGGGCTCTCAGACGCCGCTGCTGGTTGCTGAGAGCGCAGTCTTGCCATTCGTTGGCAGCTTTAGACACTCGACCTGTTCACTCGACTTCAAATTGCCGATTGACGTATCGGCGGCCCAGAGTGAAAACCAGACGGACAGAAACGAGACGGTCTTTTGGCGCGATGGCAGCCGAGTTGGAACAGTTGGCGCCAACCCTCAAAATGCTACTGTACTGTACTGCTTTTAATAGTACCCTTTTCTAGGAATATTTTTTGAACACCTGGATAGGGATTTTGGAAATTATAATCTCGCTTCAACTAGCAAGAGGGCCTCTAGCAACAACCTGTGCCCAGTTCTTACGAGACGGTCATAGACGTCAAGTGGGCGAAGGACCCTGGAGGCAGCACCAGCTTCTTTCGGGAGCGGAGCGCGCTCTCGGCGTTGATCTTCTCCAGCAACAGACGGAACTGCTCCACCTCACGGTCGATGTCGTCTTCCTCCGGGACGCGCACCTCCATGACCGAGTCGGCGCTTCCGTCTGTCGATGCTAAGGCAAACTGCTGCTTCTCTGATGCGGCAGCGTTGCGCTTCGACATGTGCGACTGAGTGTTTGTATCTCGAGGATTCACATTCTCTGTCGCCTTCTGAGCTGCGGCTTCTTTTTTACGGCGCTTCTTCTCCTTTTTGCTTTTCTTCTTCCGGCTGGTACTGGAGGGTTTCTGACTTGCCTGAAGGTCTGCAAGCTCATCTCGTAGCAGTTCAGCCTGAATAGCGAGCGAGTGTTGCAGTGCCTCTTGGTATGCGGCTTCCAGCTGCCGTGCAGCAAAATACAAGTGTTAGTTCCATGGGCAGGTAACACAGCAACGCAACATACAAAGTACCTGTTGGCTGAACGTGATGCCGAGTACATCCAGCAGATACTCCTGGGCCCAATATGAAGTGTTCGCGCCGGGGCATGTGTCATCGACATCAACTTCGTCGTCCTCTTCGCTGTTTTCGCTTTCGTCGTCGTCAAAGCCGGGTGGGAGCGGTTGCACGTCGCTGATCGGTATGCCACAGCGGATCATATCTTCGATAAAGTCCGTGTGATCCTCCCGAATAATGATATAGCGTTCCTCTTTCTGGATAAGCCGTAGCAGCTCGTCTTCCTGCCGCTTGCCGACTTCCAACGCGGCCAAATACTCGTCTGACAGCATGCCACCCTTGCCGTCTGCGCCCCGTCGTCCTTCCCGCTCCAGCTCAGACCTAAACACCAGTTCCTCCTCTTCGAGCACCAGATCCTCCATATCCTCATCAGACTCGTCCTCCAACTCTGCCTCATCGTCGCAATCTTCATCGTCGCATTCGTTTTCCACGTCGCTTTCCTCCTCCTCATCGCCCAAAAATGGCGGGAAGACACTGAAAGCGTCCAGCTTGGAGCGGCTACCCGAGCGCTTCCGTTCGTGGTCTTCCCACTCTGCAATTACATTGTCGTGGCACTCGCAGCACATGTTAAAGCTAACGAGGAACTCGTCAAGCGACGACAAGAATGTATCGCGGCGGATCCGCAGCAGTCGCCGCTTAGCCACAAGCGATAGTTCCCTCCAGAAATTGATGAGCTCCACGCGCGTGTAACTTTTGGGGCTTAGCATCGTCACACTGTTATTGCTGCTGGTGGAGCCCGTCGAGATCGCCTGTGCAGCTGATCCCCGCTCTGCTCTGGGTACGAATCTGCTGATCGCGCGTGTATAGTCACTCTCGTCGTCGTTGCTGCCATATCACATTACAACACAAAGAGACGATGGACAGCTTGGTTAGTAGACGCAAAAAGAATGGCGCGCGACTTGATCGCTATTGAGAGGGGGGAGCTACATGCACTAGATTTACCGATTCTTGCGCGCGAGCATGGAGATCGACGAGCGCCGCAGTAGACGATTGCGGTGCTGCAGCAGGCCCGACTTAGTACCAGTCGTCTTGGTGACACGATGGACGTGCGTCGTGGTCTTGGGGCGTCTGCGCGTCATGCTACAATGGGAGCTCGATAATGTCGTCTGCGACTTTTTGTAAATGGGACCTTTTTTTAGTCAGACTTTTTGGTCAGCACAAAATCGAAAGACAGGATGTCTTCACTTGCAGCAACCCAAGCAGACGGCTACTACTACCCGGCGGAGTGGCGACCCGAGCATGGCTCGCTCAACTCGTTCCATGGGTCACACCCACTGGGCAAGCGGGCTAAGAATCTGGCGAGCGATGGTGTGCTGGTGGTGCGCTTTGAGATGCCCTTCAGCGTCTGGTGCACGCACTGCGATTCCCACATTGGACGGGGTGTCCGCTTCAACGCGCGCAAGAAGCGGGTGGGAAATTACTTCTCGTCCGCCGTGTGGGAGTTCCGCATGAGCTGTGCTAGTTGTAGCGGCGAAATGGTGATCAAGACGGACCCCCAGGAGCGCGGGTACGAAATGGTCAGTGGTGTCAGGCAGAAAGCGGAGACGCACAGCAGTACTGAAGAGAGGCAGATAGAGCGCCTGAATGACACTGATCTGGGCACCAAGTTGATGGACGATCCGTTTCTCCGACTAGAGCACGAAAATGAGGACAAACAAGCGGCCAAGAAGAGGTCACGCGGGCTTGAGCGCCTCGTGGAGCTGCAAGATGCAGAGTTTAAAGACGACTACGACAGCAACTCGGCACTGAGAGCACAGTTTAGGAGCATCAAGAAGCAGCTCAAAAAAAGAAAACAGGAGGCTAAAAGATTAGGACTCGGGATCCCGCTGCTGGACGTACATCCAGACGACGTGCTAGCGTCGAGAGTAGTCGTATTCAAAGGCATTCCGCAGAAGCAGCGCGTGCGTGGACGCCATCGGCCAGTACACTCGAGTGGCTCAAGTACAGCTGCTACTGCTGCGAGAGCGGACTCGTTCCAGCACTTCGGCGACCCCGTCGGGTCTCAGCTACAACGGCTTAAGGCGGCCAAGCGAGCATCGAAGAAGCGGGCATCGGCTTCCTCTCGGAATTAAGCTGGTCGACCTCGGTTCAAATGTACTAACTCAACGGCTTTTAACAAGTATTTTCTTCATAAACTAAAATCGGTAGAAGGGAATTTGACTGCGGCAGAGAGGCTCACTCGAGAGCGGCACACAAACGCGGGACGTCGTTACACAGGACGGCGAGCGACTTGAAAGCGCGATCTTCGTCGCCCTGCCACACCTGCAAACACTCCTCGGCAGTCAGGACCATATCGCTCGAGTAATTCGAGTCTTCACTGTAGGCACAGTACGCCAGTAGCACGCGTACGATGCTCCTTTTCTCGCTTTCATTGGCTTCTGCAGCGTGATCATCCACATCCTTCGTAATAACCTCAAAATTGTCGTGTTTCCCGTTGATAATAAACTCCTCAACGCGCATCGATGTGTCGGAGATGCTCGAGGCAAGCTGTAGCAGTCGCTCACCCTCCGTGACGGAGTCCGTCTGGCTGGCGTCGCTCTCCACCTGGTTTCCTTCAAGATCGGCATAGAACGCGCGATCTTCCTCTGGCTTGGGCAGGAGCTCGTATTCGTCGTCAAAGTCGTTTAACTGGTTGGTGCCGTCCGTGTAACACGACGCCTCGTCGTCTGCAGCATTGTTGTCACTATACTCTGGTGTCTCGCGATGCGTTACCCCTCCTTGTTGTGCTTCGGCCTCTGCCTTGAGACTCTCAGCGTCCAGCTTGGCGCTGTGTTGTACATGTAGCTCTCGCAGTGTCTTCGTCGGTTGCGGGGCTGTCTCGAAGACAGCGTTGAACTCGTTAAATACGTCGTCGTAGACCTGCGACGGCAATGATCGCTGTGTGCTCGTTCTCGCGATAAACTTTTTTGCGATAAACACGAGCGATGCAACGAGAGCGGCCCTGGCACGATTTGTAGCGGCTGTTACCCAGCAACTCATCACGGCGGCGGTAAGCGCCATTTTGGACGAGAGTGCGCGAAGCAACGCCGCTTGCTGTGCCGCACACCGTCGCTGCAAGGGCGAGCCGCGACGCTGGTGACCTCGCAGTGCCTCTACTTGGGCCCTCACGATCGCGTACACGGCCTCAGAGCGACCGTGCGCGCGACAGACCGACGACACGAGGAAGTTGCCCATGCTCGTAGGTCAAAATGTATCAATGCCCAGAGCGGCTTTCTACCCAAGAATACCGGTACAGTCACAAGTTGAAGTGGCGCTTTTTCTGCGAATCACAAGTTCTCATTGGGCGTCGTGAATTGGTATATAACACCTAATTAATGGATGCGCCCGAATAAAAGCCCTCTACCGAATAGTGTCCTGTGGGGTGCTAGATGTACATGCCTGCACTACTAAATACTAGCCCCTCCTGAATAGAGTCCTGATAAAAACTACCAAATCTGCTATTACAAACTTGCTGACCATCCATTCTACAGAGAAACACTTTTCCGTCATTTCCAATAATGTCTCATCAAAGGCAGTCGGTTAGCATTGGGCGTAAGCAAGAGGTGATCAAGTGGATTAAAAATGTCGTTTCAAGGACCTACTGTACATGAAAATTAATGCTTGGAAAGAGTCAGACCGAGTCGAATACACTCGCTTTGGTAACCCACGTATGCCAAGTGTTGACACCGTTTGCGATTGGGGCCTCCGCGCGTGGCGAGACACGGATGAGGCAACAATCATGCGGAGCGTTGAAATAGCAGGCTTCTCGAGAGACCCCTCGTCGTGGTTTATATCCAAGCACGATGTGTAAGGCGCAAAATTTCGTGAAAAGTGGTCGAAGGAACCGCATATGGACGAAGACGTCGATCTGTTAAATCTTTCAGAGTAAGATGATGCGTTAGACGATTTTAACCTGGTACACGAATCATTTCAGCAAGAAATAAAGTCCTCACCCGGTTATAGTCCTCTCTGTCACTTTCGGGTGGCACTATTAACTATAGTCCGGACTCTAATAGGGCGCGTCCATTAGTCATGACTAATTATGGTGTTTAGGTTGGAGCACAAAATTTTGGAAATTTAACTGCCCGTAATTTAAAACTACTAGCTCATACCGGTATTTCAAACCAAGCACACTAGAATAAAGTAATTGCCGAGATCTGCCCAAAACCGTTGCCTTTGTTTAGAATTGATGAGCCTTCTAAAATATCCCAGATTTGTGACGTCACTAAAGCGCGATTGCACGATTAATTTCGAAGCCCGACTAATTAGAGTGAACGGTGGGGTCAGAACTGACTTTTTTGCTGGCATTTTCTGGTAAAAATGACTGTCGGCGTAGAGGCCCAACGTCTTCTGAAAACTTGAGAGCGGTTAACGAGTTGTCCTACATTCCATATTACCGCTCGATAGGTTGACTACTTGGAGAATGGCAGCGAGTGGATTTCTTGTTTGACGGAAGCTGCTGAGCTCTAAATGTCGACTCAGCTACACCAGCTCTTTGTCACCATTCTGGTGCATTCAGCCCCAGCAAATGTTCATGTTCTATGGGATCAGCTCGTCGCTGATCTTTCCGACGACCTCGCACGCAAACATCAAGCTTTACTGGACCCTTTCAAGTCGGTGCTGGTAGAATTTGAAACGCTGATGAGTGTTCAAGAGCTATTTCGAGAGCGGGTATTCGCTAGGTGACCTTGACGAGCTTCCTCAATTGAGGTCGCTCCTCAGATTGGTTCATGAATCGCTTCGCCAAAACGGCTTACTTCTACGTGAGCTCACTGGATGCGATGAGTCAGGTCTGGAGGCGATTGTGGTGAAGTGGTTCTCGCAAAATCTTGCGACTGTCGTAAAGTGCTTTCTCAGAAATGAGAGATGGGGTCTGACGAGGAGTCATTATCACAAATTAGTGACGGCATCCGGTGGTTAGAATGGATCTAGACTGCTCGAAGTGAATCCGTACTGCATGAAGTGGATTAGACTGATGTGAAGTGGATCGAAGAGCGGGACTGTCACTGTAACGGGGTTACACGCAAGTGGCTACACTTATCCACTTGGTTACGAAAGAGGTTTTCCACATTGGTGTGAGATACACCAATGGCTACATTTGGCAGACTGTTGGTCTGCATGCATTCAAGGCATTCATTGGTTGAAAGTCAGTATCTTCAACCAATTAGACTAATAGGATTCTATCAACCATTCGTTGATAAATACCTTTCATTTAGAATATTAGATTAGGAGGAAACCCAAACAAACAAATAATTCTCATTTGACAGGAAATCGGATTTGCTTTCCTATTTAAGTAAATCGAAGCCCTCCAAAATATGTCAACAGTCATTGGAGAGGCAGCCGTATCGACAATGCTACGTACACTGTCACAGACAGAGCAACATGGTGCTGGTCTGGGATTCATCGTAGCGAGCAGTGCAATGCTGCTGCTACGAAAGTGTCGTCCGGGACGGCACCGCGCGTGCAGTCGTTGAAGCTGCACGTGATCAATTACGTGGGGAAAGAGAGCGAGCCACTTCTTCGATGGCTTGTCGAACTCGACACTGTCATAGCGGCTCGTCATATCACTGACGAACCATCAAAGGTTGCGTTCGCCATGTCATGCTTTGGCGGGCAAACGAGAAGCTGGGCGTATGGCCGCCGGCTCATAGATCACACGTGCTTTAGCACGTATGCGATATTCAAGGAGGAGCTCAGACAAGCGTTTGAGCCTCCTCAGAATGAGGACCGGTCGAGAGCAGAGTTTCTCGACCGGCAGCAAGGTAAGCATGACGTTCATGCTTATGCCCAACGTGCGCGGTACTTGGTCTCGGACATCGTGACCAACCCGATTGACGAGGCGACAAAAGTCGTCACGTTTATGATGGGTTGTAAAGGATGGGTCGGCTAAGACCTATCTCTTCCGAGAGTACCCAAGTACTCTCGAAGCTCCGATTTCTCTTGCAATGCAAGAGGAGTTTAACCTGAAGCAGGCTAAGCTGCATACGAACGTGCCGAGGATAGCACGTTTGATGATGAGAGCGGGAGGTCCAGAGCCGATGGACCTCTCGAATGCTTCCCGATGTTGGACGAGAACAGCGTATTCGGGGACAAGTGCGGTGGTACCGACGTGGGTACACGGGACACTTTGCGCGTGAGTGCAAAGCGCCTGTGCACGCGACCAGGGGCCAACGTGGCGATGCCGGGCATCGCCGCGTACAATAAACAAACGTGCAGAACCAGTAGGCGCGGGGCGCCATAATAGTATTGCAGTCACGCGTGTCTATACGGACACGCGACTCTGAGGACTGCACCCCCAGCGAAAGGGATCTCGCTGCAAGAAGCAAGATGACAAGCCAAATCTTATTATCCTGAAAGTGACGTCGAAGAGAGCAGGCTCTCTTCGTGCTTTGGTTGGCTCAGGTGCGTCGAACAGCTTTATTTGACTGGAAAGTCTGCCGAAGCTAAAATTCGAGGAAGCTAAAGCACCTCGAAGTGTTTTGGAGGTACGGTTGGCAACAGGTGCCACCGTAAGAACGGAGATGCGCGTAGTACGCGTGCGCTTCTCGTACAGACACCGGATGTTTGTGGAAGATCTCATCGTTCTGGAGCTGGACGATAAGTTTGACTTGGTATTGAGCATGATCCAGTGATCAACTGGGAGAAGTGTACACTTGTACACTTCGGACGCAACGCGACAGAGAGCGATGGCCCTGTCAGTGTCGCGCATGCACCGCGAGGTGCATCTGATCCCACCGTTGAGGCAGCACCTTACGTTGCATCCTCCGATGCCCAATCACAAGTCGCAACGACTGAGGCAGTCGTTGAGTCTGTCTCAAATCGGAAATTAGATTTGAGACTCGTTCATACTTCAATGACCGTATCAGCTCGGGGAGTTGATCGATCAAGTATAAAAGAGCTTTAAGTCACAGGCAATAGCTGCAACAGTGGTGCGTCGGTCCCAAGAACGGACGCATCAGGTATGCAAGGAACCCCAGATACAGACAGTAGCTGTGATGCTGGCTTGTCAGCTCCGGGAGTCGACACGGTCATGATTGGATCAAAAATCACGAAGGGCCCCGCCGAAAGGCGTCGAGGAAACAAGGACATGTCGACTGCGGGAGTCGACACAAACTCGATATCAACATCGAGAGAGAACTCCGCCGAAAGGCGTCGATGGGATACAGCGCGTCAGCTCCGGGAGCTGACGAAGCGGCAAGCAGTGTTGGCGGTTGCAAACGTCCAGCACGGAAAACGCTTGCGTGCTCACGTGCAGCTAGTCTGCACGACGAAGCGGAATGTAGTCAAGCTGGGCATGATCATTCACGTCCGCGGAAAGAATCTGCCGACGATACGAACGATAGCTGCCGGGCAGACATCGGAGACGACGTTGAACATCTTGACGCGGACCCGTTCAGGTCTCCCGTACCGGTCAATGCAACTGGAGAATCCTCCGACGAGTGCGTTGGCGTTGACGTCGCTTCCAGGCATGGGTTGGATGCGCTTCGCAAAGAACCTGTACGATGAACGCATCGAACAGATATGCATCCTTTTGGATATCGAAAGGTTGTCATGCGAAGCGGAGGAGCTGAGACAACTCCACGCTGCGAATACCGCTGAGAGTAAGGACACTCTCAGCGCGAAGACGAAGAAGCAGCGCTTCGACTAGCAGAGCGGGGACTCATTAAAGTCGAGCCCCTTTTACGATGTTCTGCTGTAGCTCAAGGATGTGCTTCCGGAAGAGATTCCTGCGGAACTTTCGCAGGTCAAGCGCGGGAATCAAAGTCCCCGCACAGCGCACCAACGCTCTGTGTCAAGAAGCCACAAGGCGGATGGCGCATCGTTCATGCTTACAACAAGTTGAACGATGCGACGATACCGGCACAGACACCGATACCACGAAAAGATGTTTTCATCGATTCGAAGGCCAAGAGCACCATCTACAGTGATCTTGATATGCGCGACGGGTTCTATCAGAACCCGATGCGTGAGAGGGACATTCCTCTCACGGCGGTGCGCACTCCAAGCGGTGTGCTTTGGGAGTGGCTCGTAATGCCGCCGGGACTGAAGAACGCCCCTGCAACCTTCAATAGATGTGTCATACATCTATTGCGCTCAGTGCGTGACTTCGCACCGAGCTACTTCAATGACGTGCTCGTTCCCAGCCGGGCTATGGACGGGAAGACTGACGTTGAGGTGCACAAAGAGCACCTTCG